CTATGTTTTTTATAAGTAATTGCTTCTTGTCAATTAATATAGATTTAAAATATTCTTCAGTTACTTTAATAATTTTGAAATACACTTTCAGAAGCTAGATGTAGTCCTCCACTATTTTGAAAGTTAGTAAATGTTTTGAATGCATCTTGCACGCTTGTTTGGTTAAAATATGTATGGCCTGGTCTTATTAAACTTTCAGTTATTGCATCAATGCAGTTTTCACATTTAAGGCCTGGAATAAGTTTCTTATTCACATACCCACTAATGTAATATAAAATGTTATCAGAAATTTGTTTTAATGTACATTTCTCATTGTATATGCCATAGAATCGCTGAAGTGTTTAGATAATAATTTAATCAGTTTTTCTAAATCCTCTTCATATGGATTATGATTATATTTATAATCATAAAATTAATGAAAGAGGCTGCAAAACAAAGTAAAACGAATCCAGCGGAAATATATGCCAAAAATGTGAAGACTTTAGACGCACAATCACAAGCTAGAGTTAGTTCCACCTGAACGGCTGAACCTATAATGAAACGAACAATACGTAATCGAAGGAAAACAAAACATCCAGTTAGTGGAACTAATATAGTGGGAGAGTGGTGTACAACTGGAAATCTGGATAATAAAAGATTACTTTTGGTTGGCGATGGTGACGAAGATAGGTTAGTTATTTTTGCAACCGACGGATAAGGACTTCAAAATTTATCCAAGTCTAGGATAAGTTTTTTTTCCGTGACGGTCTTTACCATGACGTTTTTTACCTGACGTTTTTTTCCGTGACCCGAATATATCGATAGTTTTCAATTGGTAGTGCCCATCACGATTAAAGATACTCTGCACTCACTGTCTATTATATATTTGTTTGCTTACTGCCAATCGTCATATTATGTCAAATATCAATATTCGTCATAGATATTCGACTCTCGTGCTCAATTTTATTGCTTCGTACATTTTCACATGTCTTAAGTGGATACCCGTACAATTGTATACTTTATATTGTATATTTTATATACTTTAAAACTATTTACAAAAAAATATTGTGTCACATAGGAACCGTAGTTTCGGTGCAATAGTACGGCACCCCTGAAATGAAATGAATGCAACACAACGTACAAAGTTTCTTATCACTTTAGTCGTCCGAGAAATAGTGCCCTAGCTTTGGTACCACAACTTCACACACGTACAATTGCTTACTCGTATGTTGATTCACATTTACTTAAATTCGGTTTCTGTCAAGACTTCAAGAGGCTAGAATATATTATTAGGTCTATAGCATAAATGTAACAAGTAAGCAATAGGTACAATTATTAGTAAGTACTGAGTAATAATGTTTGTCAGCCTATATTACAAGAACCGCTTGAGACTTATTGGCCCACCGAGATTTTCAATTTCTACCGACCCTCAACAAAGTATTATTGGTTCATTCGGCAATGCCTTTTGTGGGTTATTTCTAATTTTATTTACATTACAATCAAACAAGTCGAAAGCTTGTATTAGGTAGTTTTTTTAAATATTTATCTTGGTGTGCATTAACTCATAATTGTTTCTAATATTTACAATTATACAATATTATACAGTATAATGTGTATTAAGTTGAGTGAGTAGGTACTTATACCGGGTTGCATTTAAAAATGTATTAATTGATTGGTTCAATAAAATGTAATGGACTAAAATATCATGCTTAAGGGACCATTAGCTCAATATTGATTCGTTATGTTTGGTGATTGTTCATGCAACCCGGTACTAAACTATGTACCTACCTGTATAGTTTGTACATTGTACATAATATATTATATTATAGTACACAATACCTTATATTGTTATTTATAAGTAAAAGCTTTTAGCTTAATAATGATCAAAAGTAGTTAAAATTGTATGATACAAAAAACTTCAGATTATTTTAGATTCTGAGAAAAGCGATGAATGATTTTACAATCATGTGTGTTTTAGGTTCTGAGCCTTGGGAATTGGGTATTGATTTTACAATCATGTGTTTTTTTTTTGTGTAGTTATATTACTAAGTATATTTTATTATATTATTGCTATTAAAATAATTTATTTCACTATTATAGTAATACAGTAGGTTGAATTAATTTTTTTCCGAAAATATTGTATTTGAAAACGTTATTGTGTTGTATAAAACAGGGATTGTAACCTTTATGTTTTTTTCGGTTTCGGTTTCGTTTCGGTTTTTCAAAAAAATATTTTTAAGGTTTCGGTTTTAATTATAAATTTCAAAAATATGAAATTGAGGTTGCGGTTACGGTTGTGGTTTATACCGGTTTTAACCTGTTAAAAAAAAAAAAAAATATTTTAAAATTTTAAGCGATTATAGAACCGTACTAATACAACCAAAAAATATGTATAGGTACCTACAGATAAACCTGGTAGTTTTCAACCAAGTCTAGGGATAGACAGCTCTTTTAACAATCAAAAACCGTATGATAACATATATTCCAACTTAAAATTACAACTAACAAACTTATGCTTTAGTATTTACATTTTAACTTAATTAACAATTATTGTTGTAAACTTCATTAATGGGTTGACTATTGACGACAGAGACGATTAAAATATCACCACAACTCAATACAAAAACTTTCAGATGATTGATGTTGATTGTTGAGGGTAAAGATTCTAAATTGGAAGGTAGGCGTAGCACTCATTTTGGTTTAATATTAATACTTATTAGTATTATAATTCTCAAATAACAGTGCCGAGGCCTAAGAGTCTATTATGATTTAGGTTGAGACTTAAAAATTAATAAAATATAATACATATTTTATAAACTTTCTTTTACAAGATTTTATATTTTAACAATATAATAATAATTTTTATATTCATAAAATACATATTATTATAATGTAACCATACTATTTTTTTTTGCGTTTTGAAGATGGGTTAGTAGTTCCAGATGTTTCAGTATGACTTCCTTCCCCTTGACTCATAGTGACCTAACCGAAAAAACCTTTAAAAACCGAAAAAATTGAACTTTAAAAATTAGGGTTAGGGTTTTGGTTAGGTTTTTTAAACGTTTTAAAATAATTGTTTCGGTTAAGTTACGGTTAATAATTAACACAAGGTTCCCGGTTCTATAACCGGTTATTTTCGGTCCGGTTACAGTCCCTGGTATAAAATATTAAAATATAATAATAATAATATACTTTAAATGTTTCAAGTACCCACGAATACAGTATTTAACTACGAAAAAATAACTAAGATCGTTATTTTTCGTTTAAATATCTAATTCTACAAAATAATTTACAAATGTTGTTCAAATTTGAACTTTAAAGCTAAAACACCTAGTAATCGTAAATAAAAAAATTAAAAAATTAAAAAAATATAAAAAAAAACACACATCATTGTAAAACCAATACATTCATCGCTCCGCTCAGAATCTAAAATGTAGGTACAGTTTCAATAAGGTCATAACTTACTTAAAAATAATAATATCAGTAAAAGCCTACGCGTGCTCACTTAATAATCTTACCTTTATATTTTATAATTGGCCAATTCACTCTAATATTATCAAAACTAACAGCACACTAATGAAACATGTGAACGAAAATTTGCTATGTCGTCGGAGATTACACATGCGGCCATGCGGGTACGATGTCCTCTTAACTCGATGAAATACATAGGTTTTCAAAAATCGCTTAGGGAGGCTAGGTTGCCCTTTTGAGCCGTATTTCAATATATTTTTGCAATAGTGATTAGTGTTTATTACGAAGTAATATTATCTAGTTCACCTAGCATATTATATTGGACTTGGGTTTTTATGTATTATTTCTAGAAAATATACCATAGTTAAAGAACGTAATACCTATTATAATATTATTATATTATTCCGTAATGTTCAAAAATAAAATGTTTAAAACAGTATTTCCCGGATAGATTAATGCTGTGCCAGTATATTTAAAAAAAAACATTTATTTATACAAACTTAAGATTTTGAATGTATAACAGAATGATATTTAGTCATTATTATTAATTATTATATATTATTATATTATGTTATATTATTATATATATTATTAATTATTATTTATTTTATACAAACTTAAGTTTTTGACTGTATAACAGAATGATATTTCATCTATTTCATCATTTTTTATAAATCGATTAATTATAGGTATCGCAGGCGATTCCAGTACAAGAATAGGTAGTGACCCTCTTAGGAGGCAATTCGAGTGAATAATATTTTTGGAATCGGGAGGCAATTCGGGTAACCTTTTGAAAAAAAAATTCATAAAAATATATAAAATATGGTGAAGTCTACTATGTGTTAAAACCAAGCTAAGAAAAAAAATACTCAATTAAGAAAAGATGTGATATCAAAAAGGGGCTAAGTAATTTATTCCTTAAATTCATTAGTATATATTGTTTAAAATGTTATTGCTTGTATTTGATGAAGTGCAATCATTTATAATACAAATAATTTAACTTAGCTTGGCGGCTACTAATATTTACGACCTCGACTAAAGATACACAATGCCGACATGAATATTTACATCACCATTTTATATATTTAATATTTATAATATTACTAAAACACTATTTAAGTATATAATACGAGTAGCTACCAGCTAACTTAAATTATCGCACTTCATCAAATACAAACAATAATAAATAATTTCTATACTAATGAATTTAAGAAATTATACTTAGCACTCTTTGATATATCGCCACTTTTCCAGCTCGAATTTTTTTTCTTACCGAGATTTTTACACGCAGGTGACTGAGTGTTTTTTTTTTTTGGGATAGTAATAAAACATGTCATCGAGGAACATATTATATTAAGCACAACTCAGAGCACATGTATCTAAAAACATAATATTATTATCCAATGTACATTTATTAGGTATTTACTACAAAAAATATTCTATTTTTATAAAAAAAAAAATTATGTAATTTTTTCACTACTGAACCTACAATACATTTTACGATGTTCGACAACAGATTATAATTAATAATAATGAATATTAGGTATTGCTTATGGTGTATTTCTTACTACAGGTGGACGCGGTTGAAATATTTTCACATCAGATTCTGGAATCTTGTATCCATCATATGTGCTATTCGTTACTGGTTTAATTCCAAACCAACTAAGAATTCTACTTTTTAATTTTACATTCCACGGCTCGTCTAGGAGAATTTGAATTTTTGATTTTGATTTTTCTGGACTTTTGTTGTTCTTATTATCGTGCAATGAAATGTCCATTTCCGTAGAGTTGAGGTGCTGTACACTATCCGTAGATCTTCTTCTAAATTGAATAATTGAACCACCCGTAATGTTCGAATTACTAGCACTTCCGAAAAAATTTTGCGCAATACTTATAGGTCGCCGTGTAAACACCTCGTTCTTTATTGTATCTTTTTGAGTTTCTAAATGGCAATTCGTACTTTTACCGAATCCTAAAAACCCACCTGATTCACTGCAAACTTCAGCGGTTTCACCTTTTACAGTGTTTTGAACAACGTAATGAGTATTATTAAAATAGCCGTTAAGATTTAATTGGTGAGTAAAGTTATCCCTGGAGTTATCTTCAGCAAGGACCAAATGAGTGTGGCTAATTGAATCAGAAATCATATTTTTTTCTATTTTACTCATCGTCTCATTGTGTTCATTTTCCATTTTTGTCATGGAATTATTTTTAAAATTCATTATTTCGAGGTTCCGATTACTTATATTTGCCATCTTTTCCCTATGGCTATTCTGCTTGTCCATAAGATCAGTATTCATTTTAATCATCGTTATATCATGCATCATTTTCATTTGTTGTAGGGCATTGTTCATTTCTTGTAATCTTACTTCCATGATTTTATTACTTTCTTCCATCCTTTGTTCCATTGAAAGTTCACATATTGAGGTAAATATCATACAGAAGAATGTAATAATAAAAACAGCCACTTTATTTTTACACATTTTAACGTTTAATCGGAACAACAAAAAACGCCTATCACAGACAGCCGTACAATAAAAAAAATACAAAAACACTTGATAATTCACATGCACTTCCGCCAAATATTGAAGAACTGATGATCGTATTCAATACTTTGAGCTTTATAGCACCTTATATAGGTACAGTGTGAGTGTAACAGAAAGTCCTGACAAATGAAATAACGTATTCTAATCAGTATTTAAAATTGTATTGCATGTAGGTTACTATTAACAGACGCTATCGCTACTCCACGGTTTAAACATACAAGGTTATTTACATTCTAGATCAAATATTTGATGATAAAAACAAAAATGGCAGCTTAAAGGGAGTCAATATAATAATAAATTATACATGCGCGGGACAGTCAAAAACGCAACGTCAGTTTTGCCAATAATTTCCAATTTCCCGTGCGCAACTTTTCCAATTTTTCTCTCCGTAAAAATATTATTTGGACTAGGTATTACAAACATTGTTTTTAAATGACCTAAATTGGTCCAGCTGTTCTTAAGTGGTTTGATTACCAATAAACATTATTTAATTTTCATTTATATAGATAAATATAGATTATTTTTAAAAACCTACAGTTATTTAAATTTTGCAATAATGAAATTAAACGATTTTATTATAATCTATAATATAATATAATTTATAAAGAAGAATGAATTATTTTATTATTGGTTATTCCTGGATAAATAAATAAATAACGTGAGTCGTTAAAAAAATAATGTTGTCGAAATTATTTTAATTGCCATATATCAAAACAGAATATAATTATAAATTTAAATTTAATACATTTCAATAAATATTATTTGGATGCAGTAAATAATAAACTATTTTAAATCAATCAATTTGAAATTTAATTACATAAACATTTATTTTAACTATTTTATTTGGTTAAGAGAAGGTGTAAATAAAACATCGATATGTTGTCATGAAGGTATAATAATACTAGAAACTAAAAAATTGCAAGAATCCTGATTCAGAATGATCTTGTAATTTTATTTCAAGATCGGGCTACAAAGGTGAAAATGTTGCTTGGCTTGGAGCAATGTGACTGAGAGTAAGTAACACCCACTGCTACTAGTTCCCGGATGGGTGACCACCCAGGTTCGTAGTAACAAAAACCTTGCCATACATACACGTATTGCTAGCCTACCATACCAACTCAACCAACCATAATCCATAATCCCTACAATAGCTAATGTCTATAGTTGCCGCGCTTAAGTTCAATGTATTGATTTTACAATGATGTGTATGTTTTTTTTTTTGTGTCCGTCATCACCGTTTGGGGCAATGAAACCTAGGCCGGATTAAGACATTTTGAGGCTCAGGGGCCAAAGTTTTAAATGATGCCCCTTTACGAAAAAAAAACTATTAATGTATATAATGTGTTCCGGGGTGAAGTGACCAGCCGACGTAATATGAAAGTATACCAAAAATGATGAAGAAATACCCTTTAAAGATTGTGTCAAACTTTTTTATTTTTTAAGTTGTGGGCAATTAACTTTTTTTTTATCAAAACCATATAAATATCACGCATTTGTATAATATGTATCTTCAAAAGTTTTTAATATTTTGTTGTAAATTTTTTTTTTAAAGTTATTTAATTGTCCTATCAACACTCCGACATACGCGATTGAACTAGAAATGCGTTAATTATTTTTATTAATTAAAAAAGTTGGCAAAAATTAGCATTTTTTAAAGGAAATCGTGTATTATTCCAAATAATTTATTACTTAGTATACTAAGTATATAAAAAAAACCAAGGAAATAAAAACCACGGAAAAAAAACCAAAATAAAAAAACCAACGGTGAAAAAAAACAAAAGAAAAAAAAATCAAAGTGATAGTATAATCAAAATTTTTTGAAACAAAAGAGTTTCTTAGTTGTAGTTCTCGGAATAGCCCGACAATTAAGTGAATTTTTTTTTGTATATCTCCATGTATAATATTGTATTCCAGCATATTTTAAAGTATACATATGACCTTTGTGACAAATATTATCCTGCACCCTTATTTTATTTAATAATTTCAATAATTTTCATATTTTACACTATTAAATCCAGAACTTTAAAAAAAAATCAATTTGCAAGACAAGAACACAATACAGTAAACTAGTAAAGTCACAATCAGCACAATGATCAATAGTGTATTTTTATATGATCTTCATGTTCCCCCTATTTCAACTATAAATCTTGACAGATTGACAGATTAACTTGTCAAACTTGTCTGATTATATTGTTGAGTTATTTTGATTTTTGAAACCAATATAGTATAATAGTATATTATTATGTACAGGAAATTTCTCAAATTAAAATATATTTTATATTTATGTATAGCAAATTAAACTAATAATTTATATACATAGTGACCGTAACTTATATTCTATCAATCATTTACTTATGCTCATTTGTATTCATTTTTCTCAATAAAAATGTAATTATAATTAATTGTATAATATTTGAATGTATATTTAATCAACACATAATTTTTATAATATTGATAACACAGCATATAGATTGTATATTAAATTTTGTGATAATGCTAATTCTCTGATTATAGTACCACTTGGGTTTTTTTTCCGTTGGTTTTTTTTTTTGGTTTTTTTTTCCCGGGATTCATTTAATATTACTTATTAGGTAGGTACCTGTTAGAATAAATATAATACCTATATAGATATTAGGTATAAAGCAATAAATATTGAATAATGTATCACTTTATTTATAAATTATAATTTACAAGCTTAAATAATCATCGATTACATGTATATACAAAGTACAAACGATAAGAAAATATTTACAATTTTATGAAATCGGAATTTCCAACAGACGTCATTCTGGGCATTCTGGGTTTACCCTGCCACTGTCGATTTGAAAAGAAACCCGAAGGTCGTACTGATTTCATACCTAATTATTGATTATCAATATATTTTAATTCCTGGTCATAATGAAAAGAAGATATTATAAATATTATACATATATATATATGATTGATAATTATTATGTTATTTGTATAATGTACTAAAGACCTGCGAAGGCCGGGCCAGCCCGACCAGGTCCTTAAAAAGCCCGGCCCGTAATGACATTGGACCGGCCCAGGCCTTTGAAATAAAATAAAGGGTTGGACCGGGCTTTCTTAAGTCTTGGAATTTTATTCCGGGTCGGGCCTGGGTTTTTTTATTGTGTACAATTTTTCGGGCCAGCTGGACTTTGAATAATAAATCAATGGTTAGACCGGGCTTTTTAAGGATTTTTCTTCTACAATAACTAAAATAATAAATAATAATGATAAAACCGACGTTGGTACAGATAGATACATCTAGAGTACCTATACTCTATGTATAGATACTAGATAGTACCTAGACACAATCACAATGAATATAATAATATGTTGATTGGTGGGTATAATAAAGCTATTTATGTACCTACCATAATAATATTAAATTTTTTTCACAATAATTTTTCGGACCAGGCCGGGCAGGGCTTGAGGATAAAATTGATGGACCGGACCGGGCTTTTTACGAGCTCGGCATTATTTTCGGACCGGGCCAGGTTAGGTTAATGCTCCCACCTTATGTCTCCAAGACTCCAACCCTTTCCATTCAGCAAGATCTCAGGATGAACTCCGTCAAAGATGAAACAAAACTCTACTATAAGCGGTTTCACAGTAGGTTACTTAATCATCCTAACCCTCTCATAAAAAATCTAGCAGTCCCTTCGATTCCGGGTAACCCCGTCAGACGTCTCAAACGTAATTGGTGTCGTGACCTGCTAGATGCTTGAATCCTAGTTAAAATCCTCCTAAACTCTAAAAAAAATGGGTAGTGCAATCATTGGGTGGCTTCTTCCGTCATATTACTCATGTTTTTAAAACTCTTGCCTAATTTGCTTATTATTCTATGTATGAATAGATTGTAAATATCTTGTAAAAAAAAAAATATATAAAATCGGAATTTCCAACAGACGTCATTCATAAATACCTTAACTTAACTTTTTAATAATTAACATCATAACAATGCATATTACTCTCTTGATTTTTCATCAAGTAAGTATGGTAATTGAAATGAAAAAAGTCTGAACTTTGAAAACTTCAAAAATGTGTGTTAAATAGGAAAATAATAAAAATATAACTCAGTAATGATAAATAGGTGGGTAATTTTAAATTTAGCTAGCTTTAATATAAAATATTAATAAGAGAGATTTGATATCACACCCAAGTGGTATACCCAATTTGAATCCATAAAAACATTCGAGTGAACAGTCCCAAAATTTCTATTTTTTAACTTTTCTCCTAAACTATGATACCTAGCTAGAAAATTGTTTGATAACTCATTAAAAAGGGATTATCAGGTAGGTAGACACTAAATGTGGAATTACATTTTTTTTTGAAATTATTTAATTTTTCACAGATAAAAAAGAAAAAAGAGTTATTTTCTCTAGATTTTCATTTAGCGAGGTAGATCTGCGAAACTGGAGAACAGATTTTGTTGTTTGGGGTCTTGTTAAATTCACATTTGCTAAGAGAATTGCATTGAAGATTTTCAGAACTTTATCTCCAATCGTTAATTCATTACAAAGCTGTAAAGATGAAAAACATAAAAAAACGCCCAATAAAATTTGTTTTAATTTTTTTTAATGTTCTGTAGTGAATTAACTATTAAAGATAAAGTTCTGCAAATCTTCACTGCACTTCTCCTAACCAATTGTGAATCTAACAAGACCAAAATCAACGAAATCCGCTCTCCGGTTTCGGAGATCTATCTCACTAAATGAAAATGAAAATGATTTTTTGTGGGGCTGATCACGCCGACATTTTTCTGGATTCATATTGTTATACCACTTATTGGGTGTGATTAAATCAGTTAACAAATTTCTAAAAATGCAAAATTAAGAAAGTTTACATGCCGATCCCTGACTTGGCAATTTTTGTTTTGTAGACCGTAGTGCACACACGTTCAAATCGTAGTGCACACTTATATATTCGTAGTGCACATTGTGTGTCGTGGTGCACATAAAAATAGGGCCTGTTATCATATATTATATGATTGATAATTATTATGTTATTTGTATAATATACTAAGGACCTGCGAAGGCCGGGTCGGCTAGTAATGACATTGGACCGGCCCAGGCCTTTGAAATAAAATAAAGGGTTGGACCGGGCTTTCTTAGGTCTTGGAATTTTATTCCTGGTCGGAAATTCAAAGCTCCTCATAATTTATTATAATAGCAGTTGAAAAATACTAAAATTACATGGGCATGATTTTTTTTTATAGCATCTAAAATTTCGAAAATACGCAAAATATTTTTTAATTAAAAAGTAGAGGATATTCAATTACTGATATCCCTCTGAAGAGATCGCTTTCAAAGATTTCTTTCCGTCATAGACCTCATACTAGTATAAAAAAATGTCTGATTTCCGTGCCTACCATCCACGATTCGCTCATGCTAAGTGTTGCTAATGGGTGACTTCTTAACCCCGTTCTTCATGCCTGTTTAGTGTTTACCCTCTACAAATACGCTTATTGTGCTCTTATTAGTATGGATTGTGTAATTCTTGTAAAAATAAAAAAAAAACCATCCACGATTAAAGATAGTACTATCTACAGCCGTGGAGGTAAGTTATGATAACATAAGTTTGTAACTTTGATAATGTCTCAAATTGCGATTATAATTTATAACGAATTAACGTATTTTTCAGAAATCGAAATGACGTTAGATTCTTTAGTTCATCGTGTCATGTCATTATTTAACCTAGTCGTCACCTGGATTGGTTTACGCGGTTCCAACGACATCAATGTGGAAATCGTATATAAATCAAGCGATTTTATTATCGTCAACAAACCCGAAGACGTGTTTACAAACAATCATAACAAAGCAGTCAGTATAATATTATCCAGTTTAGTGTATTATATTATAAGAAAATTTGTAGTCCATACAGTGTTCAGTGGTTGGTGGTCTTAAAGACATATTAAATACAGAAATAGGTTTAGTGTAATGAAATAGGTGTATTGCGGTTAGTTTGTAGTATGTTAAAAAAATATCAGCAGTACAACTTCATACTTTCAAATTTCAAAGATACTAATGCGTAGGTAGTTCAAATTTTTAGACTATAGGACTTTATGAGAAAATGTTCCAAATAATAATACCAAAACTGGTGATCAATGATTAATGATTAGGTATGTATATTTTTGTGAAATTGTTCATAGTAATGGGATGCAAGTAAAGGACAGGACATGATTGGATATTGGAGGTACCTAGTGGTGTAGGTACAGCGTGTTTCTTTTTGCAATTTTAATAACTTAGTTCATAATTTACATCATGGACTAAGCTTCTGGAAGGTCTACTAAGCCTCCTCCCCTATTACAGGGATGCCCAACATTTAGATTCATTTTCAATATTATTGAACACTTGTTATTGCTATTATTTTTGATTCATTTAAAATGCTAAGAAATTTGTTGAAATAACTAATTTTATGGCACCTACCTATTGCTTAAAACCGTATAATTTATGCACTGTATATAAAATACATAATATTTAAAGATGATAATGAATAAGAAGAATCGGTTTTTTTAAAAATATTATAACCTATAGGTATGAATATTCTTATATTTTATGGCAATAAACTTAATAAATGATTTGCATCGAAAGTCATGTTTATTAAGCTACTATAAGCCTAAAATGCAAGGCTGTGCAAGTTAGTGATTTTTTTTTAACTCAGTTATGTTAATTACAAAAAGTTAAAAGTTAAAAGTTAATACACACTTTTTGTTAACTTTTTATTAGGTATTAATTTAAAAAAATGTTAATTTGTTTATACAACACTAGCATACTTAATTTTTTTCCAAAACTAAATTATAGACCATAGGTGTTTATACTTTATTTAGTATTTCTTCTATTAGATTCGAATGATATACATTTTTAACTAAAAACAATTCATGGTAAACATTTTTTGACATGAATATGAAATAGACTGAATAGTGAAATATAATAAAATTAAAAAAAATAAATTAACTTAACCTACTTCTTAAAATGAAAAATGAATTTGTTAATATAAAAAAAATACAATTAAAAATAAATTTAGTAAGTTAACAGTTAAGTTAATGAAAAGCCAGAAGTAACTAGTTAAGTTAAAAAGTTAAAATTAAATTAACTTTTTAACCCGTTAATGCCAAGTCTTGCTAAAATGTATAGTTGAGCCACTGAATTCGATAAATCGGGTACCTACTGCCTCATTATTTTTAAGTGTAGGTACTATAAACCTCTACAGTCTACAATTATATATTATTTTATTCTTGCAGAGGCCGTCTTTGGATGTATTACTTGGAAAGAAATATCCACATTTGGTAAACAGCAATTTAGAACACAGTTTCTATTTTGTGCACAGGTTAGACTTTGTGACCAGTGGTGTATTATGTATTGCATTAAACAAACGAGCATGCGCCAAAGCTTCGGGCGCAATGCAAAAGAGAATATCCCGAAAGTATTACATAGCGTTGGTCAGGGGACACGTGTCCAAAGACCATTTGGATATGACTGACTCTATTGGTAATAAACTTTATAATGATATTTATGTAATCCATTTATACCTTATTTTATATTATATACCTTTCTGGCTTATACTATGGAATATTGGAATCATTTCAACTAACCAACATTTTAAATGATTGCTTGTATAGTGTCCCTTCTGATGTAATCTATTATGTGCTAGCATAGTACTAACTAACCACATGAAAATGATTGAACAAATATTTTTAAATGCTAATATCATTAATATTTAATTACAAATATATACTTATAGTATTGGTATACTTATATCATACAAAAAATTAAAAATCAAGTTGGTATAAAAGAAACATTGAATTCAAAAACAAACTATGTTCAAAGTTTAAAATGTATACCAATAACTATTGAATACAATTTACCTTTGTTTTATATTTATATTTTAATTTCCAAACATTATACAACATATATCATACTATAGTCTCTAGAGTCCATACCACACACATTAAAGTTTTAAACCCAATAAATATATTTATATTTTATAATATTAGTTATTATAATGGACTTATGCCGAGTTGCATGAACAATCATTAAACATTTAATGAATCAATGGTGAGCTAAAGGTCGTCCATTAGGCATTAAACATTATTTAGTGACACGTGATATTGGTCCGTTAAATTTTATTTAACCATTAAATTAATACATTTTTATGCAGCCTTACATTAGTGACTAATACTACAAAAATGCCTGTGCAAAATATAAATATTATTCTATGTGTAATAGTGTAATAACTAATAGAAAAAAATCTTGCCAAGAAGGATACACTGTGTATAAAGTGGTCCCTGAAAGTCCCATCTTCAGATTTATTTTGATTTAAGTCCAAGATATGACCAAATGACAAACAAAGTCTCGATAATAACGAGATTTATTTTAAATCTTGGTATCGTATAAATGTAATATATTATTATATCAATATATCATAATAATATTTACCTTTTATACAACAATTTGTTGTACAGGCTACTGTGCGAGAGAAGCTGAAGGAAATCGAAAAATGTGCACCGTTGACAAGGTGTGTTGCACTGGTCCACGGGACGCGCACACCCGGCTAGTGGTTTTGGAACGTGGAGTGTTCATGTCATATCCCGCGACCAAAGTTCTGTTGCAGCTCATCACCGGCCGACGTCATCAGATCCGGGTGCACTGTTCGACGATTGGCCACACGATCGTTGGTGATTACACGTATAGTGGTCGCAAAGACACGAGTCCGAGTCGGACATTTCTCCACTCATACAGGTGGGTGTGATCTGAACACCGACCCGACCCGAAACATCTTCGCCCGTCTGTGACGTGGTGCCCCTTAACAAGTGGCTAATTTCCAACATAAATGTGAACTGGCACAGACCTGGGCTCACTAAAAATGTTCATCAACTTTGATTTTGAGTATTGTAATCAAAGTTAAAATATTATATTATATTATTGTCTTTTCGACTCACTCAAAAACCATGTTCTAGGATCCGCGTCTGCGATACATACCAACGGTGGACCTAGGTAGCGGGGTTGATTACTTGAATATATATAAGGCTTACCCTCTAGATACTATTTTGAAAACCTCTACTTAATCCTTAATTTTCATTTACTAGTTGATACATACTAAATGGTGTAATACCATAATATTCATCAGTCAAGTCCCTCACAAAATTTGGCCTATGAGGCCCAACTGCCCAAGTCGCCACAGTAGTTAATATTGTATATTATGTGCCCGTTTTTTTTCTAGCTATATAGTTTTTTCTATGACAAATTGGATAAATTATATTAATTAAATGTTGACATGGTATTTGTTTCAGACTGGAACTGGGCGTCGACGGTATAAACGTCCAGACAATCGACCCGTTTACTAAGGCTAAACTTAACGGTTTGTGGATCCCGGTGGAATACATAAACGGAGCAGGAGACGATTGTTTTCGATTATTTGACAGCTACAGCTGACATACGTAAATTGTGACTTATGAATTACGAAATCATATACCATATGTATGAAGTTCTCATTTTAATTAAATTCATGTACATATTGGCATAATAACCTGCAGTTTTATACTTACCTTTCTTTTTTAACGTGGTATTGAAGACGCTGTGGGGACTGATGGCGCATTACTTTGTCATTTTAGCTATAATAATATATTGATAGCTAGTATTCGGTGAAACCAAACCAAAATAATTTTTACGTCTGTTAGTTCATAATAATAATAATATAATATGAAGTAATATCACTAATACCTATAATCAAAGTTCACCAAGTTCAGTTCATAGTGAACACACGTTAAGCCGGGTTTACATTGGAAGAGTATTTGGTATAGTTTGTAACTATTGTCTAGCATAATGTACCCTAATATACATTTATTCACAATCACGGTTTAAATTTACTCATGCTTATAATAAAGTTTTGATGTAAATTAAATATGGCCGGCCGGCCATATTTTTCAAAAAAGAGGTCAGTATGGACTTCGGCGCCACTCATACCTACTCATATGTACAAGATAAAAATATCAAATTAAACACAACTTTAATAAAAAACTATAGGTATTCTGACACAGATTTTACTAATAGAGATCGTGCAGAGTATAAAAATTATTCTAAAGAATGAATAATATTGAACAAAATTTAATTGACTTACAAAATATTAGGTAGGTACAATGTACATATTATTATGATTTTGATTTAGTTCTAAATAAAAATACTGTTGCCATACAAGTATAATGTATTTTCTATTAATAAATTTAATAAATAAACATAATTTAAAAAAATAAATAATTAGATCAAATAAAAGTACAATATATATTTTATATGAAAAACAAATACTAAATTTGTTTGTACATAATATAATAGTAAATAGTGCAATTTTGTGATAGAAAAAATATGTAGCAATGCAATGCATGTTTTAAAAAAAATATAAAACAAATTGAGTTGATACATCACTCATTAACTTAATATAATCAAAGTTCACCAAGTTCAGTTCATAGTGAACACACGTTAAGCCGGGTTTAAATTGGAAGAGTATTTGGTATAGTTTGTAACTATTGTCTAGCATAATGTAAATACTCTGGGATAGAGAGAGTACTAAAATAATAATCGGTAGAGTAGTGTATTATCACTGTGGTCTGTTGGTGGTTCATGGGGTATATACCCCACCCAATCTCGCATATAATATATTATAAAATATATATTATATATTTTTTAAAAAAAATACTGTCAATACGTCTAGTTTTTGACAAAAGTCAAAAAAATACCTTTCACTCGGGTATTATTTTTCAGGACCCCCAGAAAAACACCCCCTTTTATAGTCATCATAAGATAAAAAGTTTTAAACCCTAATAATAATCACAGAGTGATTTTTCATAATATCTATGAAATTAATAATATCTATAATTATAGATCTATAATCTATAAATCTATAATTACAGTAAAGAAAATGTATAACTTATCACTTAAGTGGTAAAATTTAAATATACGGCACAATTATTAAGATAGGTAATAGGTATACAGGATAATAATATGGAACGACGCCTCACTATCAATATGTTCCGTAACCTGTATAATATCTTAATTTGTGATACACCGTAAACAGAATAAAAATCTATTGACTACAACCTATACCTATATACTTAGTATAATTTAATTAATATTAGTAAATATTTAGATAATATTTAAATATCGTATAAATTCAACAATTATAAAAAATTAAAAATCAAGTATTAAAGAGTTATTAAATTAATATGTTTAAACTTTAAACTAAATATTGATTAAATTTAACTTATTTAAGATTCTGAGTGGAATGATGAATGTATTGATTTTACAATGTGTGTTTTTTATTTTTTTTATTTATTTTATTTTTGAGTGTACACGATAAGTAGTCCGGTAGTCGAAATTATGAGCGTTTGAAATTCAAATTTTTACAACATGGATATTTACTCGATTTCTCATGTAGCGATTTCCTTATTTTATTGTAATTCAAAAACGAATAACTGTAGATACATGAAAATTTTACTGAATGTTTATATTAGCATTTCCTATACACCATACAATTTTGAAAATATTTTGATTCTTTTTGAGCTGTTTATGGACATTTACAGCTTTCAATTTTTTTTAGTTTTTTTTTCTATAAATATCAATAAAGTTTTATCTGTTGGGCCAAAAAGTGTAAAAATTTAATACAAGGCTCCTGATATATTGTTACAATAGCAGTTGAAAAATATTAAAAATACATAGGCACAATTTTTTTTTATAAGCATTTAAAGATCGAATTTTGACAAAATTTATCAAAATCTCGAAAATTATCAATCATTGTAATTAATAAATGATAAAATGTTCAGTTTTTACAGCCAAGGATTTAAAATTTAAAACAAGATTCCATGTAAGTAGTTAATTCTGTTACCAAAAAATCTAAAAAATACACAAGCACAGTTTATTTTTATAGTCATTGTAAGTTCAAATTTAGATGAAATTACAAATTAAAAAACCTAGAATAACTATTTTAGTTATTTTGTTGTGATTGTATAATATTATTCGTGGATACTTGAAACTTTTAATGTGTATTATTATATATCTATGATAGTATCACGGTTTGTTGTTGATGTATAACGCATTATAAATAGGTACCTATAATGGATTTTGTGATATGATTAATTTGGAATTTATTATAGGTACCTACCAATTTTTTTTTTAATACCATAGATATGTATATAATATGTCTTAAACCTAGACTGACGTACCGTCTCCGCTCAGAATCGTTTTTCTTATACAATGATATTATATTATTGAATTCAGATTTAATACCATCCATTATACAGTGACTTACTTGTAACCTACAGTACATCAGAGCACCTTTTTATATTTACTACTGTGAACTCTGTAGTCTTATCCACATCATGGTTGAAATGTTGAATACATAGAATAAGGAGACTAAACTCATACGGCGCCTGTAAGAAAAAACCTGTATAAACAAAGTCCAAATGGGCTGAAACTCCATAAGGCCCATTGTAATACCCCCTTACAACTCCCTAACAAATTCCAAGTTGCCTAGTCAAATTTCACCTCCAAGTCACTGTGAAAATTTAAAGTTTCCGGCTATAATAATTTATCGAAAAATATTATACCGATCAGTCAGTCAGTGCAGTTTGTCGTCAGTTGTCAGTAAAAAACGCACTTTCAATTTTTCCCAACATTTCCAATCTCCCGTGCAACTTTTTAAATTTTTCTTTCAGTAAAAACCTTGTTTGGAGTATTAAAAGCATATTTTTATTTTTTTTTTGTTACATTGGGGTCTATGATCAGTAGAATATCCTTCCCTTTCAAAAAAGCTGAGTTCACAACAAATAGAACACATCAACTTGAAATGTTGAATATCAAAAATTAAAAATACAATAATAACATGAAAAATTATACATAATATTATTTTTTTTGTTTATGTATATTTTTAAGAAAAACAAAATATAATTGAAGTATATTAAATACACATAAAAAAAATAATATAGCAATTTTTTATTCTAAAATACTTAGCTTCCAACTTTTGTCAGGTATTATTTTTAATGGGCTCAAAAGAATTGCATCTGAAAACAAATTACAAGTATATTATATTCATAAATTTATCATTCTCCATTTTTGATATTTTCATTTAAGATTTTATTATTAAGGTTATTATTTTATTATTAACACTTACCCTCTATAGTTTGTTTTTCAGTTTCATTCTAAAAATAAAATAATAATACACATTTTTAACTATTGTAATTTTATTAATAATCATAAATATATTATAATGTGTAAAAACTTACAAAAATTGGCCAAACAGTTGATTCTTGACAAAGAATAGAAATCTGAAAAGATTCCAATGTTGTTTGTAAAGTGTGACCAATATCAAATTCTTCAAATCTCACGAGTAAAAAACATATAGATTTTACATTATCTATAAAAAAAAAAAAACAACTTTTATTATATTTTGAAGCACACCAATAAACATTTTTTTCCGTTTTATACACATATAAATATATAATATAGTTAAAACCTCTCCCCATATCTAACTCATTGTGATTAAATTGTTGAAACCAAGGTATTATAACTGATTATAACTATTGAGGAGAGGAGACTCGGAGATGTGAGACTGTGATTGGCTATGGAAATAAATGTAGAAGGAAAGAGAGGATGAACACAGATGAGTTGGGGGGGAGGGGGGGGAAAGGGCAAAGAAAATATGGAACCTATAATCGATAAATTATAAACAAAAATATTAACTGTGTTTTCTTTTTTTAATATTTTTTTGCTATATATAACTGAAAATGAAAATAATATTATATACTAATCACTTTCTCAAAAATCGAAATATTAAAAAACTTATTGATCAAATACAGATAATATTGTTATATACAATTTGTATAATGATACCTAATTTAAATAATTTAATCACAATTATTAATGAAATAAAGGTTTTTACTATTTTCAATGCATGTAAGGCAGCAAAAATGTTATATTTAATGTTTGCTGTTGCACTGTCTTAGAGAAGGTCAGCATAATATTTGGTTTCTTTCACAGACAAATGTTTCATTTTTTATGATTTTTGAGTTATCTTCTGTAGTAAACTATCAGAGTAAAACTATATATTACAAAAATTATAGAGAATACTATATTTGTGAGGGTTTAACATATCAGTTTACTATATATAGTATAGTTTATATTTTATTATTATAATGTGACTAAAAAAAATAAAAACATTTTTTTTAAATTTAAATGGATATAAATTGTCTAGAGACAATATTCAACAAATTTATAATATGTTAAACCCTTAAAAATATTATTCTCTATAATTTATATAATTGCAAATTGGTGATTTTACTAGGATTACTCAAAAACTTAAAAACAAATGATTTTCCATGATACATTTTGTCTACATTGGGCAAACACCAGAGAGAAAACAAATAGTGTGTTGATCCTTTTAAGAA